GTTCTTTGATATTCTGCTCGTTAGTATTCTTTTCTCTCAGTTGATGAAAGTTGAAATATGAATCCCGCTGAGGGGAGGATCAAAGCGGCTTCATCTTCCCTTTTAACACGCCTGAAATGTTCCCGCGGCATGACAGACAGTTTAAAAATGGACCTCTGTGACCCACGCTGGGACGCGTCTCGTGTCTTCAGTGCAGCGGGCAGCCTTTTAGCGGATTAGCATTGTGGCTTCACGGCAGCAACTGAGGATTTACTTCCTTTTTTTTTTTGTTGCATTAATCATCTCCTCCACCCACGCAGGTTTTTGAAAACACATCCACAGGCCGGATGTTTTCTCCGGGCCGGGTCTGATCGGGCTCCTCACCACGGCCGTCGACACAGAACATCTGTGTGTGTGTGTGTGTGTCAGCGAGTGGGTCATAATAACGAGCACGGTGAAGCTAACGGTTAGCGGCTAACCCCTGCTGCGTCTTTCCCTCTTCCTTTGGCTTCCTTTGGCTTCTGGCGCTGTAGAATCACACCTGCCACGTCTTGTTTAACCACTCATCCCAAATCAAGGCTATCAAGAATCACACATGGCGGGAAGGTCAAGAGGCCAAAGCCCAAGCGAAGCCGTCGGTGTCAGCGTCCGTTTCAATAATCAGGGCGTTTCTTCGCTTCGCGGACGCCTTAACCTGCAGCCCACCTGCATCGTGTCCGTCTTCCCCCGAGGAACGTTCCTCGCAGAACCTACTCAACTTACGCAGGATGCTGTTCAGTCTGAGAAGGAGGACGATCCCGCCGACGGGTCACTCGGTCATGAGATCACACGTGACGGCGACTGGTGGACTCGCGGAGCCTTCAACACACACCAGGAGACGTGACGGCGCTCATCGATCCGGCTCGTGTTTCACGGCGACCGCCTGGGACTCGAGATACAGCAATTACCAATGAGTCATCACAGGAACGGACTCCCGACCCTCGCCGTCCTTTACAGGCGGCGCTGGCCGCAAACGCTACGTGACGACCAATCAGAACCCAGCGCTGGGAGGACAGGAGTATTAACAGAACGGCTCTAGAGTAATCTTCCTATATGTCATCTCGTCTTCCTGCTTCGGCTCAGCAGCAGCGTTAATGCTGTGAGTGTGATTAAGGCGCTGCAGATGGACGACCCCACCCCCCCCCCCCTCCACCCCCCCTGCACTTCTGATGGAGGGAAGGAGGAGGACACAGAGGGACTGACAGAAGGACGGATGGAGGACACATAAATAACACAGACACGAGATTAGGATCCCAGCAGTGAAACGAGCCGAGAGGAGGAACTGATGCATCAGTTTAAAGAACAATTCAGCCGGCGATTTACCGACTGCAGACGTGACAAAGATGTTATGTAATCAGAGGAATAACTTAAGCCCGACCATAATCCCCTTTATTACTTTTACCTGAACTAGGTTTCTGTGATCGGACACCGCCAGAGCAAAGAGAGGAGGCTATTTTTAGGTCTGGAGACGTTTTTTGGTGGTTTATCTGATTCCAGAGACATGGGGGGGATCCCATCAGGCCGGGAAATAAGAGGAAATCATTCATTGATGGATTCTGATGCCGTTTGTGGGGGACCAAGTAGAGCAGCGAGGGTTATCTGAACCTTATTTCAGCAACAGGAAATGCTCAGAAATGTCATTTGTTCAGAACCATAATCTTGAATCTCACATCCTCACACAAAAGGCCTTTCCGGTGACGTCTAGTCACGTGCAAAAAACCCACAATAAACTTCTTTCCAGACACAGACACAACGTAACACACCAGAGCCCACCGGCAGCAGCAAAAAAAGGTCCAATCGTCGGTTGTGACTCGAAGCAGCACCCGTGTTTCTTCCTTCCCGCCGGCTGCTGATGAACTCTGATCATCGCCGGGGCGACAGGTGGGCTCACCTGCCGAGGAGAACACTTCCTCCAACTGGCCGATCGGCGCCCCGAGATGAGAGACGGGAAGTCTCGTTTCACCAGATATCATTCATAAGAATATCTCTGCACCTTCATCCACGTGTTTGTAATGATGAAAAGCATTTTATTGAGACTTCTACTTGAAACGATGAGGAGGAGAAGGAAGCACAACATGCAGACTCTGGGGTTTCCTTTTTGCTTCTTTATCCTGGATTTCAAGGAACTGTTTTTTTTCCTATTAAAAAAAAAACACGAGAGATATTGATGAGAATTAATATAAACGTGTATTGAAATAATAAAAGAAAAAAGAAAAACTGCTTTGAATATATAACATTGTGAAGGAAGCTCATTTTATTTAATATCTCTGTTGTTTCAATTTCATTGAGTGTGTATTATGAAATAAATGGACTCGTATCGCCCTTTTGCTTCACAGTTTGAAACCACTTTTTATAATATTTTATAAAAGATTGTATTTCTTTCGTCAGTATATTTCCTGCTTGGTCTCATATACTTTTTTGCCCCAGTTCAAATGTAAAGTTTCCTGTAGGTACGTGATTATCTTCATAATTCTATGTTTCCTTGGTGAGGAAACGATTCAATGATAATAAAGGAGAACTCTTATTATCTTGTGAGCATTTGGATGTGAGACATGTAAGCTGTGTTTCTGATAACTTTCCTTTTCTGCTCTCAGGGGGATCAATCAGCTGATCAATAAACTGTACAAAGCACTGATGGAAACTCTCGACTCGCGTTTAGTCTCCGCTGCCTCGTGGGAGAACCACTGAAAATAGAAGTAAAAATTGTCATGGTACAAAAAGAACTCCACCGAGTTCCCACTCTATTAATTATGTTTCTAGTGATCAAAGCTGATCTTATCAATATTTTGCATTAAATGACCAGCAGGGGGCGACTCCTCTGCTCCCATAGACGTCTATGAGGAAATGACTCTACTTCTCTGTAGTGACCAGCAGGGGGCGACTCCTCTGCTCCCATAGACGTCTATGAGGAAATGACTCTACTTCTCTGTAGTGACCAGCAGGGGGCGACTCCTCTGCTCCCATAGACGTCTATGAGGAAATGACTCTACTTCTCTGTAGTGACCAGCAGGGGGCGACTCCTCTGCTCCCATAGACGTCTATGAGGAAATGACTCTACTTCTCTGTAGTGACCAGCAGGGGGCGACTCCTCTGCTCCCATAGACGTCTATGAGGAAATGACTCTACTTCTCTGTAGTGACCAGCAGGGGGCGACTCCTCTGCTCCCATAGACGTCTATGAGGAAATGACTCTACTTCTCTGTAGTGACCAGCAGGGGGCGACTCCTCTGCTCCCATAGACGTCTATGAGGAAATGACTCTACTTCTCTGTAGTGACCAGCAGGGGGCGACTCCTCTGCTCCCATAGACGTCTATGAGGAAATGACTCTACTTCTCTGTTGATTTATTCCCTCAGTAAACGTTGTAAACATGAGTTTATGGTCTCAGTCTCTAGTTTAAAGTCTTCTTCAACACATCATGATGTTCATTTAGTGAATTATGGTCCATTTAGAGACAAATAGAACATTCATGAAATGATGCTTTAGGGCGGGGCTTCTGTGATTGACAGCTAAGTCAGTTTTTAACCACAATTTGGGAATTCTTATTCTCTCATAACCTGTTATGTGGCGCTGATTCGGGCCACGTGACCTCCCGTCCTCGCGGGCCTCCCGGGGACGACGCGCATGCACTAATGAAGTCGGGGCGGTGAATGAAATGTCGCCCGGTGGTTGTGAACGAGACGCTAAATTGATGCCTCGGTCATTATAAGTGGGGGAGACAGAAACATGAGTCATGCAGCCCGGAGCTCAATCAAAGCTTCCTGCTCCTCCGTCTCCGTCAGCGGCTCCAACACCAGCGATCAGCGCAGAGAGGAACACATCTGTCTGCAGCAGCATTGTGACGGAGACGTTGGTCCTCCGCCTCGTTACACCGGCTGCATGACCGGTAACATGATATCATTTGTGGCAGTGAGTCGAACCCAAAGTGGGAGTATTTTTATGCGTGCATTTAGATTTGATTCAGGTGCAACTCGGTGGATATGAGCAGTGTGTTTCTTCTCTCTATTCCAACTCATGCATGCTTCCATAAACCGCATCGCCAACGTCATTCAGCTCTGATTTGAAGTGCGATGTTTACTACGAGGCTGTTGCACGGACGCAAACAGTTGGACATTTGTTGTATTATTATGCGTAAAGCTTTGCATTACTTGCCAGGAGTTTAAGTAAAACAACACTGTGTAATGGGGACATGTTAACCGGATGTATCTCATTAAATGTGCATAAATGTGCGTGTTTATTACTTATGAGATGGACGGACTTCAGGCATTTGTCACACTATCATTTTCCTTTCAATAACAGCTACATTATAGCTGCTCGTGGACACGTCATTTACTCCGTGTGGCGCGCTGCACATCACATGAAAGCACAAAACAACTTTCAAAGCGAGCCTGCCTCACATGGGGGGCTTTGAGGAAGGATAACAAGAGGAGGCTCTTCTCTGGTTGCCTTTTTCTTGCTCATTTACAGCAGAAAAAAAGCAGCGACTGAGTCACCGACTTTAAATGCAGAGAGGCTGCAGAATCCATCCGGAGGTAGAAGAGTAATAAAGTGACACGTGACCGCTCTCATTTAAAGTTCCGGGATTCGTTGAGGCTGATCACACACACACACACATTCCCAAAGTGTTTGATTACATTTATACTCTTACATTGACAATAAGCTTTTATGACGCCTCCTCAACCCTCCATCCGAGTAATCAACGACCTCGCAGAGCTGCTGCACGACGCCGCCGCTGTTGTTGTTGTTGTTGTTGTTGACTTTTTAAGGGTTATTTTGCCCAGTAACTTTTTACCGGGATGACTCACCCAGGGCGGCTGTTACGCATGACAAAAAAAAGCAATCTGAGAATAAGGTGGAGCGAGCAGGAGACGGATAAAAAAAGGTGTTTTGCGCGGGGAGGGTGGGGGGGGGGGGCAGCAGCAGGGGGGGAGGTTGGGGGGGGGGGGGGGGGCACTATTTTAGGATGAGGTGCTGGGAGAGCGAG